ACCTTCAGACAAGTCCATGGGGAAGGCAGATTTACTTAACAACCATGTGACTAACTTAACGGCAGCAATTCACTTTGTGGCAAGAAAGGTCGTAAACTCAGGCAAAAACTCACTTAACAAACATCTCGCTTGCAAATAGAAATGTTGGGCTCAGTTGCGGCCGTACGTCGAGGACTACCTGTAATATATTCATGCTGGAAATGAGGCCAATAAACATTGGTTTAAAGCCACCTGGAGGATTCTCAGCCAAGGTAAAGAGTTGGGCCAAGGGTATTTTTGGATCACAGCTCTGTCTCCTTCATGCTGCATCGGAAATTATGAGAGAACTCTTCCCCAAGAACTCCCCTGAGCTACAAATTCATTAGGTGGCAGATATTTTCATAGGCAACATTAGGAGGCAAGGAGCTGCCTTAGTTCCAATCAGAACATCGTGGGCCATCTTAAAGAGGAAACACTCCCTTTTGAATGGGAACAAGTTGGAAATTTTATCTACTTTTGCTACTTAGGATTCGGTAAACCCTGATGATTAAAACAGGGACCTGTCTGATAAAGGAGAATATTTGTAGCTCCAGGTGCTCTCTGAGTTTGGTTGTTGGGGTTTTTTTTTTTTTGCAGACGTTTCATTACCCAAACTAGGTACATCATCAGTGTGCCCATCTATCCATCTACCACAGGGGTGTCAAACTCAAGGCCCGTGAGCTGAATCTAGCCTGTGGGGTACTTAGACCTAGCCCTGGAAACAGTGAAAGATCGGCCTGTGGTGCCTCAGCCAGCAAAAATGGAGCTCGGGAGGGCTGTACATGCCACCCCACAGCACCGTCGCGGCCGAAAATGGAGATTGGTAGCCCGTTTTCATGCCCGGCCTTCCCAAGCTCCGTTTTCACTGGCAAGAAGGTTGCAGGAAGCCGTTGCAGCTGAAAATGGAGCTCAGGAGCCCGTTTTCTCTGGCAGAGTGCTCGGGCCACCTCAGGTGCCCTCGACACGAGTGACATCGAGCTGGCCACGCCCACCCCAGCCACATCCACCCCACCCTCCCAAGCTCAAACACAACCCTTGATGCAGCCCTCAATGAAATCGAGTTGGACACCCCTGATTTACCACGAGCCGTTGGTGGCGCAGTGGTTAGAATGCAGTACTGCAGGCTACTTCTGCTGACTTGCCGGCTGCCTGCAGTTTGGCAGTTCGAGACTCACCGGTTCGAGGTTGACTCAGCCTTCCATCCTTCCGAGGTCAGTAAAATGAGAACCCAGATGGTTGGGGCGGGGGGTAAGACACTGACTCTATAAACCGTTTACGAGAGGGTTGTAAAGCACTGTAAAGCGGTATATAAGTCTAAGCGCCATTGCTATCCGAAGCTACAAAGCTTGTTGTGGTTAGATGCCTGGTTGCCTGTCTATCAGGGGTGAAATCCAACAGGTTCTGACAGGTTCTGGAGAACCGGTAGCGGAAATTTTGAGTAGTTTGGCGAACCGGCAAATACCACCTCTGGCTGGCCCGAGAGTGGGATGGGAATGGAGATTTTGCAATATCCTTCTCCCAGGAATGGGGAGGGAATGGGGATTTTGCAGTATTCTTCCCCTGGAGTGGGGTGGGAATGGAGATTTTACAGTATCCTTCCCCTGCCACACCCACCAAGCCACACCCCACCCATCAAGCCACGCCCACAGAACCGGTAGTAGAAAAAAATGGATTTTACCACTGCTGTCTTTTTAGTTCTGAACATTAACCAGGAGCCAGCGAGGAGAAATGTTTTCATCCCGCTGATGTCTCAATCAACAACCTCCTTGTAAAATTGATATTTGCGGGCAGCCAGTGGGGGAATTACTTCTCAACAGGAATGCTATCTTAATCGGATGCACTTTTCTCAGGAAAAGGAAAAACAGGCTCAACCCTTCTTCTTCCAAACCAGCTGCCGCCATCCTTCCCATTGATCCACTCCAGCGGGAAGACACTCTCTGCTTTCCTTTTAGTAAAGAAACCCCTAAATGTCACGAACCCCCTGTTCCCTGGCTGGGCAGACAAGGCATAGAGGTACACACAGTAGCTCAGCCGTCGGAGATTGCCACAGAGACGAGGAGCAAAGAGAGAGAAAGGTACACACCACCTTGGGAGACACAGGCAGCAGTGAGGTGGGAGGAGTATTTGTCAGGCAAATAGCAGGAAAGTCTTTAGGGTAAGTTGCACGTGGCACGCTGGGAAAGGGAGGGAGGGAGGGAAGCTGACACCACAACAGACTTTTCCCACCTGTTGATGACAATGAAGCTGCAACACAGGCAACAAGGAAGAAGACAGAACTAGGCAATAGGCAAAGCCCAGAGAGAATGAAAGAAAGGCAAAAAGCTTGCTGAAAAACCTAGCAGGAAGTAGGAAATCTCTTCTCCACCTTTCTCAATAGTTTCGCTTTGCCTCAGGAGGTGGAGGCGTATTTTAAAGCCTTTGTAGCTATGGGGGAAGGCAGCCTGAACCTTACGGGAGATCACAAGAGGAAGGAACGGAGGTGTCATCTGTCCTCACTTCCTCTGAGACTACCAGGTGCAAAATGCCACCCCCCACTCCCAGAATACGTTAAGCGAATCTCTGAGCGGCTCAGCAAGTCACATGGAGAGCAGGCAACAGAAGGCCGCCTCTACATACATGTAGATATATGTTCTACAAAGGAAAAGCAATGGGGCTTAAAGTAGCATATCCTTCAGCCGAAGAGAAAAGTTACAACGAGTTCTACCGGACTTAGATATCAAGGAAGCGGGAGAACAGTGAAGCTTTAAAATCACCATCTTAGAATAGACTTAAGACTTAGAATAACTTAACTGTCACTTTAAATGTACGCCAACAGGCATGCATTCAAATGAAATTTCATTGCAGACAGCTCTCAAAGGGCTACCACCTCCAATATACACTACATAAACATGACAAACGAACAAACAAACAAACAAATAAATAAGTTAGATAGATTATACCCACATATATTATATGACACAGAGAAACAACAGTCTAGTTTGGATGTATACATGTAACATGGCAAGAAAAAATGAATCTTGTGAGTTTACCAGACGGGATGGCAGAGGGAACAAAAAGCTTTACAGAATCTGGTAGAAATACTTTTAAGAAATCTGGCTGAAAGGTAAAAAAAGATTTCTGCAAAGAGGATCAAGGCAGAGCGAGTTTATAGTTGCGTGCCTTTTGGGAGTAAATTCTACAGGACAGCAGAGGTCCTATTTTTGAGGAAACACAGTCAGAAGCCTGTTAACCAGGTTCCCACGCGGTACAAGTATGAACCATTAAAATGAAAGGCAAAGAACATTTTCTTCTTTAAGCAAGAACGTTTAAGAGAAGCCATTCTAGAACCCTGTTTCTCCCAACTGCCAAACAGTTGTTTATAGAAGACGCAGAAACAGGTCAAGACAGTATAAAAATAATATGGAGGTGAGAAAACCACAATAATAAAAAAAAAACACCCACATTTTTGTTTTGCCGGACCAGCGCAAAATCTACTCTACCTATGCTTCCAGCTTGCCACATCCCTGTGCAGTAGGCCCTTGTTAAAGGCCAGTCAACATTAGTCTGGGACAAAGGCCAAGAATAAAGTCGAAGGCCCCAGGATCCCAGGAACTCTTGCTAAAGGCCAAAGAAACATTGCAAATAAAAACTACCAAGTTCAAATGGAAACTCATGGAAGCTTTATCCCCCCACGATAAGAGCCAATTAGTGATTTAGGCAACAGGCTAGAAAACAGGAGATCCTGAGGTCTACTCTGGCTTACTCGCACAAAAGCCTAATTGGCTGTCTTTGGACCCGTTCCCCCCCCCCTCTCTCTCTCTCTCAGCCCAGTCCAACCTCACAGGGTTGTTGTGGAGAAAATAAGAAGGGGAAAGAATGCTAGATAAGTTCACCGCCTTACATAGTTTATAAAAGAGCCTTGGTGGTGCAGCGGACTAAAGTGCTGTTAATTAGCACTTAGCTGCCAGCTGCCTGCAATTACTGCGAGTTCAAATCTCACCAGGCTCAAGGTTGACTCAGCCTTCCATCCTTCCGAGGTAGGTAAAATGAGGACCCGGATTGTGGGGGCAATAAGCTGACTTTGTATAAAAAGAACACCGCTTAGGGGGGGCCGAAAGCCCTACTAAGCAGGTATATACAAAAGTATGAAGGCTATTGCTTAACGCATTGTAAGCCACCCTGAGTCTCCAGAGAAGGGCGCGGCATATAAAGCGAACCAATAAATAAATAAATAAATAAAAGCAATAAACAGGATACTGTATAAATAAACGAACACATCCATAAACCAACACCTGGTTTGAGCCCAAAGCGAAAAAATTAAAAGAGGCACATCGGAAAGGGCTTTTTAAAACAACTATTTGAAAGAAGCGAAGCCTTGTCCACAGCTAAACCAAAGCTTCCTAACAGTTAACCAGCTAACCAGACAATTAATCTGTGGAAGGGCTTGCCTTGCCTTCAGAAATCGTGTTGGGGGCTCCGCTCCATCACCGGAGGGTTTAAAGAAGAGACTGGACAGCCACTTCTCTGACACGGTATATAGATGGCGGCATAGAAATGCGATAAATTGAATTAAAAATTAATTATATAGGGTCTCCTGTCAGAGCAGGGGGCTGGACTAGAAGACCTCCAAGGGTCCCTTCCAGCTCTATTCTATTTGCCGACCTCCCTTGTTTTGAAAGTGGGGTGGCGGTAAAGGACAGTTTATGCCTGCAAATCCAACCCTCACCCCCCCTCTCCAAACGCTGGCTCGATTCCCCCCCCCCCCCCCCCCCGCCCTTCCCTCTCCCCCCCCCCCCCCGGAAACTTTCCATAACGGCGCCCCCCCCCCCCCCCCCGCCCCCCCCCCCCTCCGCCGTTTTCCATCAGTTTCTTCCTTCAGCACCTGGGATCCAAGTAAGGGGGGGAGAGAGAGAGAGAGAGAGAGAGAGAACGAGAGAGAGAGAGGGAGGGAGGGAGAGAGAAGGAGGGAAGGGCTCCCGCAAGCCCAGGTGAGTCCCACTCACCTGGCCGGCCGCCTCCTCAGAACAAACAACCCGTCGACCAGCCCAGGTGCGCCGGGTTTGCTGCCGTCACCTGATCCACTCCCCAGACCTGCCCCCGCCTCTCCTTCTCTTTCTCCTCCTCCTCCTCCTCCTCCTCTTCTTCCTCCGTCCTGAGCGGCGGATCGATGATGGGAGGCGGACGGCGCTGGAAACTTACCAGGCTTGGCGGGGGTTGCTCGGGGGGAAGTAGAGAGAGGGGATCGAGGATCGGACGTAGGGACGGACGGACGGACGTGGAGCCCCTCACCCCCACCTCCACCAGGCTGCTCGCTTCCACTTGGCCGTCCCCGTCGGGCTCTTCTTCAGCCGCCGATCGCGGGCAGCCCCGAGTTGCCGCTCGCCTCCTTCATGGTCCCTGGTGCTCCTTTGGCCGATCGTCCCGACCGCCGGCCTGAGCAACAAGCGAGGGAGCCCGGGCTGCGGGGTGGGTGGGTGGCCCGCCGGCGAGAGGCACCCACCACCCCTCCGCGGCCCCCCCCCCCCCCCCCCCCCCCGCCCCCCCCCCCCCACGCCTTTCAAAGGCAGCCCCGCTCGGCTTCTCTCTCCCCCGTACAGTCCGCGGCGGGCCACGCGCTCCAGCGGCAGAGCCCGGCGGCGCCAGGCGCTTCCCTCCGCCGCCGCGTGCCCCGCTCTCGACGCAGCGCCGCTCGCAGCCAGCGGAGGGAGCTTTCCTTCGGGGGCGGGGGAGGAGGAGTTAAATCCGTCCCGTCCCCCCCCCCCCCCCCCCCCCACTTCACACACACACACACACACACACGCGCACCCTCCTTTTAGGGGAGGGGCGTTGTGGCCGAGCCGGTTGCTGTCCAACCCCGGGCGGGAACGGCCAACTTTTCTTTATGTTAGGCTCCTCTGCCTTTTTTGTAAAAAAAAAAAATGGGGAGTGGGAGGGGGGGAAAGCAGATCGCTTCTCGCCAGGCCTTTATAAGGAGAGATCCGGCGATTTCTTCGGGGTGCGGATCGGGTCCTTCCCCCCGCTCTTTTTCTCCCTCCCTTCCTCAATTACCTTCCTTCCTCTCCTCCCTCATTTTCCTTCCTTCCTTCCTCCCTTTCCATCATCTCCCTCCCTCTCCTTCCTTCCTTTCTTTCTCCATCTTTTTCCTTTCTTCCTTCCCTCCTCCCTCCCCTCCCATCATCTCGCTCCCTCCCTCTCCTTCCTTCCGTCCTCCCTCCCATCATCTTCTCCCTCCCTCCCTCCCCTTTCCATCTTCTTCCCTCCCTCCCTCCCTTCCTTCCTTCCCTCCTCCCTCTCTTCCATCATCTCTCTCCTCCTTCTCCTCCTTCCGTCCTCCCTCCCCATCATCTTCCTCCCTCCCTCTCCTTCTTTCGTCCTCCCTCCCTCCCAATCATCTTTCTCTCTCCCTCCTCTTCTTCCTCCCTCCCTCCCTCTCCTTCCTTCCTACCATCCTCCCTACCTTCCTATCATTCTTCCCCTTCCTCCCTCCTCTCTCCTCCTTCCGTCCTCCCTCCCCATCATCTTCCTCCCTCCCTCCCCTTCCATTCCTTCCTCCCTCCCTCCCTCCCTCTCCTTCCTTTCGTCCTCCCTCCCTTCAATCATCTTGCTCTCTCCCTCCCTCTTCTTCCTTCCTCCCTCTCCTCCCTCCCTCCCCTCTCCTTCCTTCCTTCCATCCTCCCTCCTTCCCATCATCTCCTCCCTCCCTCTCCTTCCTTCTGTCCTCCCTCCCCATCATCTTCCTCCCTCCCTCCCCTTCCATTCCTCCCTCCCTCCCTCCCGCTCCTTCCTTCCGTCCTTCCTCCTTCCCATCATCTACCTTCCTTCCTTCCTTCCTTCCTCCCTCCCTCCATCAGTTGGAAATCGTAACTGGAAATCGTAACCGTCATAACTGTGAACAATGGGAGCTGGGTTTTTGGTGCTGGGGTTGGTGGTGATGGTAGGGGGGCAAACCAGCAGGTTGCCCCATTCCTCGCTGTGCACCATGGGCAGCGGGGGAGTGTTCTGCCGATTGCAAGTGGGGAGATCAGAGCAGACAGTTTGCTCCCTTCCCGTGCTGGTTGACAAGCCTGGATTCGGTGGCTGAGTTGGGCCATCAGGGCTCGTGTGCTGGAAAGCAATTCTGCTCTCTTAGCTTATAGAAACTTCTGCTAAGATGGCAAAAAACAGATCCTCCCCCTATTTGGGCTGTATCTATGGTATAAACAGACTAACCTGGGTCTAGCGGTTAAAGCACCAAGTGAAAGATCAGGAGATGGTGAGTTTTAGTCATTCCCCCCACCTCCTGTTAGGCATTAAAACTGGCTGGGTGACTTTGGGCCAATCTCCAGGAGGCTGTGAGTTCTAGTACTGCCTTGATCACTGGGTGACTTTGGGCCAATCTCCAGGAGGCTGTGAGTTCTAGTCTGCCTTAGACATGAAAATGGACTGGGTGACTTTGGGCTAATCACCAGGAGGCTGTGAGTTCTAATTCTCCTTAGGCATGAAAATGGGCTAAGTGTCTTTGGGCCAGTCATTCTCTGTCCAATTCACCTCACAGGGGTGCTGTGGGGAAATAGGAGAAGGAAGGAATATTAGGTATGTTCACCCACGTCAAGTTATCTAAATAAAATAACATAGGTACATTACAAATAAACAAATCTGGGATAAGGCAACTTTTGGTGCTGGAGAAAACTCTTGAGAGTCCCTTGGACTGCAAGGACATCCAATCAGTCAATCCAAAAGGAAATGAACTCTGATTGTTCTTTGGAAGGACCAATATTGAAGCTGAAGCTCAAATATTTTGGCCACCAAATGCATAGAGAGGACTCCTCGGAAAAGACCCTGCTGTTGGGAAAGACAGAAGACAAAAGGGGACATGGGAGGAAGAGATGGTTAGATAGTGTCATTGACAAATTCAAATTCCAGGAGAGAGTGGGGGCCTGGTGTGCTATGGTCCGTGGCGTCACGAAGAGTCAGACATGACTAAGCAACTGAACCACAACAGGAAGGCCACTTCGTCTCCGTGATTGTCTTACTAAGTGGTTTGGGATTCATTTTTTTCAAAAAAAATTTCAAAAAATTAGACTCGTGTTAAATACTATTGGTTTGCTGATTGCTCTTCTCATCATCTTCTTCTAATGATCCCATAATCCAAAGGTGAAATGCTACCGGTTTGGGCTAGTTTGCCCGAACCAGTAATAAAAAATGCTACCGGTTCGTACGAACTGGTAGTAAAAAATGTTTTTAAAAAAGATCCAACAATCACAGTTGTGCCGTGCGATCGTCGGAACCTTTTTTTTTTTTTTACTTTTTAAAGCATTTTTTAACTACCTATTCACCCGAGCTGGTAGTAAAAAATGCTTTTAAAAAGTTTTGAAAAAGTTTCCCACGTGCGCCACAGCTGATCACCCCCCGCGCTGTTCTACTTACCTTCCCAAGCCTCCTTTTGGTGAGCACTACATTTGGTACACACTGCACATGTGTGCTCACAGCACGTGTTTGGCACATGGCACGCAAACCAGTAGTAAACCGGGTCAGATTTCACCACTGCCATAATCCCTTGTGGGGGTGGAGTCCGAGCAACTGAATGGAGCCAAGTGTTTACTGGGTGGAGGCCCTTCCTGTCGCCAATGCGGAGTTTTATTCAGCAGATCTTATGCCATTGTGCCCAGGGAGAGAAATATCTCCCTCTACCTAGGATCGAACTCACAGCCTCCTGATTGGGAGGCGAGAGCTCCACCTCTAGGCCACCGCACCATTCTGCTGGTTGCTCTTTTAAGTTTTTTTTTTTAAAAAAAGAGATGCCAGTGCTGTAGGCTCTTATAGGGCCACCGCTGCTGCCATCTGTTTTAGAAGATTCATTTTGTGATTCTAAATGCGTGGAATATAGAAACATGGCTGGTGTGGAAAAGAAAGGAAAATGATGTTTACACACTCGGGGGAATCCTTAAGCATCCGCAGATTTGTTTGGTTCTTAAAGATGCAAGAGGTTGCTGTCTAGGAGATTTTTTTTTTTTAAAAAAAAAAAAAGGAAAAGAAGATGGAAAAAACTATGTCAGTCTTTGAACTCGACTCCGTATCATTCAAACCACGTTTCTAGAGACTCCCAGAATTTGACTGGTGTTTAAAAAACTTTGGATTCCCCCCCCCCCCCCACAAACCGGTGTTTGTGGTATCTCCCTCGCCTGCCTGCCTGCCTGCCAGGATTCTGTCCCTTTAGATTTTCTTTAAAAAGAGCTTTTAAAAATAATACTTTTCCAGAAAAGGAATTAGGAGGCTGTCATGCTGCAAATCCTGACATCTTTGTTTCTCCCATGGGCATTCTTAGGAAATAAAAATGTGTGCCATTTGTCATTTATTTATTTGTGTGTGTGTCAGCTTGATAACATGCTTCTTTTGCACAGGAGTTCATGGAGCTATACATAGCATTGCTTCCTCCCGTGTCACAACCCCAGAGCAACAACCTTGTGATGGAGATTGAGGTGAATGAGAAAGAGAGGAGAAATGAGGGACTGGACCAGTAGTGAAATCCAATTTTTTTTATTACCGGTTCTGTGGGTGTGGCTTGGTGGGCATGGTGTGGTGTGGCTTGGTGGGCGTGGCAGGGGAAGGATATTGCAAAATCTCCATTCCCACTCTACTCCAGAGGAAGGATACTGCAAAATCCCCATTCCCTCCCCACTCCTGGGGGAAGGATATTGCAAAGGATATTCCCAACCCACTCTGGGGCCAGCCAGAGGTGGTATTTGCCAGTTCTCCGAACTGCTCAAAATTTCCGAAATCCAGAACCTGCTGGATTTCACCCCTGGACTGGACCAAAGGTCACCCAAGCAGTGTCCATGAGTGAAGGTGGACTTGAACCCAGGACTCCCTGATGTTAGTTCAGTGTCTCCAGCTCTTGAGTTTCTGAAGTTTGGAGCGGTAGAAAACATCCCTACTAGCCCAAAGGTGTGTTTCCAAGAGGCAACTGAGCTTTCTGGTATTTCTTTGAAGACATTTTGCTTCTCATCCAAGAAGCTTCTTCAGCTCTGACTGGATAGTGAGGAATGGAAGGATTTATATATTCAACAATGAAGGACAGAAAATATCCTGCAGCCAAGAAGGCTCCACACCAGGGGTGGTATTAACTTACCTTCGCTACCCGTTTGCAAATGTGAGCGCATGCTCACAGGACCTTCCGCGCATGCGCAGAGTATCAAAAATGGGACGTGATGATGTCTGGGTGGGTGGGCGGAGCCTCCTACCACCGCCGCTACCAGTTCGGGCGAACCGGATAGAGTCAGCTGAATACCACCACTGCTCCACACCCATTTGCACCATTCAGGTGACCCTGAGGACACAGATAGAGCTCCAAGTGGCCTTCAACAACTCTCTAAAAGAATGCAACTGACCAGCTGTCTGCAAGGAGTATAAATCCTTCCATTCCCCACCATCCAGTCAGAACTGAAGAAGCTTCTTGGATGAGAAGCGAAACGTCTTCAAAGAAAAACGTCTTCAAGAGTCCAGTTGCCT